AGGCGGCTCCAACCCATAGCGACACGCAAAACAATACAACCAACACTGCCCGATGCTGTGCCACCTTCACGATTGTGCCTGTGCCTGAGCCCATTGTTGCAGCCACCGTGTCAATGTGTCTTGTTAAGGGCCTTCCTCTTATTTTTCGATGCCCCTCTACTCAGCCTTACTGATGACATCACTGAGATCCAGAGTGCTGGGCCACAGTCCATTTAGGCTGGGAGAAATTCACTCCTGGAATCATTTGAACTCTTCTGGAGCCAGATCTAGATGCTCGTCCTGGTTTTAAATGTATTTATTTAATGTTTATCAAAATAAATAAACACACTGAAGGATTATTATAGCACAGCATCCTTGCTAAAAAAACAAAAAACAAACAAAAAAAGCTCACAACCACTGTGTCAATTTTGACTCATAGTGACCCATAGGACAGGCTAGAATTGCCCCTCTAAGTTTCCAAGATTCTTAATTCTTTACGAGAGTAGAAAGCCCTGTCTTTCTCCGAAGGAGAGGCTGGTGGTTTTGAACTGCTGACTTTGCTGTTAGCAGGCCAATATGCAACCCACTACATGACCAGGACTCCCAATCCTTGCTAAGATACCAATGAAATGCAAGCATGCTTGCTATGGTAGCAATGAAAATCACAACAGTAAAAAGTACGTCACTGACTAATGAACTTGGGACAGAACATGAAAGAGATGTATAACATGGCAGAAAGTCTATCTGGTGCAGAAGAGAAAGCTCTTGACTGGCCCTGTAGTCAGGAAGCTGGCTGGGTTCACGTGCAGCTGGATCTTGTGGCCACTCAATGAATCCCCGAGACTAACGGAGGTTAACACCTGCCAGCCAGAGTGTTACTCTGTAATGCCCATGAATCAGGTCCTGATTCACGTAACCTAAATCTAAGTCTCAGGGGATAATTTTCTCTTTAAAAAGTTAATGAAAGGAAAATTATGTAATTCCAGATTAAAAACATAAAAAACCTCATGGCCATCAAGTCAATGCAGATTCATAGCGACCCCCTATGGGTTTCTGAGACTGTAACTATTTACAGGAGTAGCAAGCCCGGGCTTTCTCCAGAGGGACTGCCGGTGATTTCGAATTGCGATCATGGTTGGTCTTTCTACCTGTAGGGTTAATTGAGTCTAGGAGGTAAAGCAAAATTATTCACAACCTCTTAATTAGATGGGTGAACAAGGTGAAAGAGAAAAGAGCACGGCACAGCCATTCTTCATAACGTATGTACAGGGCACCACGGGACAGTCTACCCTGGCCCAAACCCGAGGAAGAACAATCGACCAATAGTTCTTGAGTGTTTAAAACCAAACAGCAAAAGACACTGGTGGAGATCATAGAATTCTTTTTAATATAATCGAACTATTGAATTGTATGATATGTGAACAATATACGCCAATAACACTATAAAAACAAAACAAAACAAAACAACTGTTTTGGAATGGGGGGGGTCTGTCACCAGGGGCAACAGAAAGACACAGGAGGCAAGTGGCAAAGAGTACAAACTTTGAAGTCAGGCCAACCAACCAACCAACCAAATAAACAAAAAAGCCAACCAAAAACAATTCCACTGCTATTGGGTCAATTTCAACTCACACTGACCCTATAGGACAGAAGAGAACTGCTCCATAGGGTTTCTTTATGGAAGCAGACAGCCTCATCTTATCCCTGGGGAGCCGCTGGTGGATTTGAACTGCCAACCTCGCATTTAGTAGCCCAACATTTAACCACTGGAACACCATGTTGTAAAGCAACTGAAAACGCATGTCTTCTTGCTCTCTCAGCTGAGGCAATGCTCCAGTTCGATCTCTCCGGTGTCGCCTTGCCGCTACCTAGAAACACCTCCAGCGTTTCTCATCCTCAGTAGCATATGAACTTGTTCAAATTTCCCCCTTGCTTGAATTTGCTCCCTCCTCAAACTACAGCCCCTCCCACTCCTTTTGTTGACCATCAAATTTCGCGAACTAGCCAGCTGCCCTGACTTCCACAGATTCCATTCATGTTCAACTCCAAGTCTGGCTTCCCAGCCCAATGAAACAAAAACTACACTTACTGCCATGGAGTTGATGCTGACTCATAGCCACGCTGTGGGACGGGGTTAAACTGCCTGTATGAATTTCTGAGACTGTAACTGTTTACGGGAGTAATAAGCCCAGTCTTACATGGAGCGGGTGATGGTTTCAATCTACTGACCTTGTGGATCGAAGCCCAATGTGTAACCACTACACCAGCAGGGCTCCTCTCTATCCTCAGTGGTCTACTGAAATTGCTCTCTCAAAAGACTCTCCTGAGCCCCTAAGAACCACACTCAATGGCCCATTTTCAGACTTTTTCTGCTTGGCCTTCCTTGTAACACTAAATTTATCGGTGACCTCACCATCATCTCTTCCAAAGCCTCCTCCTCCTCTGAGCTCCACCACCACTGTCTCCTGGGTTTCCTCTTAGTCTGGCCATTCTTTTCCAGTTTCCTTGACCAACTGCACCTTAGTTACCTTCACCAAGCAGTTCATGGTACAGAGGCCTCAGGGTAAGCAAGATCTACCTTGGAGGAATTATGGGAAGCCAGGTCCACATTACAATCCCTAACAGAACAGCAAAAAAACCCTATCCCCAACAAATGGATTCTGACTTACACTCACTTAAACTCATTGCCAACGAGTCACTTCCAACTCACGGACCCTAAGTCCAACAGGGAGGTAAGATAAGCTGGCAAGGAACAGAGGCAGGAGCCAGCAGACAGGGCTCAGTGAAGGAGGCCCTCTTCCCCAATGGAGCTGGGCTTCGAGAGTCACGTGTCCATTGCTCTTCTTTTTATAAAAATTATTTTATTGAGAGCTAGTACAATTCTTATCACAATCCAAAAATACATCCATTGTACATTTGTTGTCCAGCACATCTGTACATTTGTTGCCCTCATCATTCTCAAAACACTTGCTTTCTACTTTTGCCCTTAATATCGGCTGCTCATTTTGTTCTTAAGGGTATGTACGGCCTTACACGTTCCCAGGAGTTTATCTTTGGTCATTCTCTACATTGCCTACATGTGGAGCTACTCTCACAATTTTGCCTTCAAATTATGTCTAGCAAGAAATTCTTTCCTAGATTCTAGACCCCACTTTCTAACTTAAAATCACTCTCATCCATTTTTCTTCCCCTAAAGGGCTCTGATATGGATTAAATTGTTTTCTTCCAAAATGTGTGCTGCAAATCCTAGTCGCCATCCAAAGATTAGATTCACTGCCATCTAGTTGATTCGATTCATAGTGACCCCATAGGGCAGGGTAGACGGCCCCCGTGGGTTTCCAAGACTGTAACTCTTCACAGGAGTAGAAAGCCTCATCTTTCTCCTTCAGGGCGGCTGGTGGTTTTGAGCTGCTGACTTTGTAACCACTACGTTACCATGACTCCTCCCTGTGTGTCCCCACGGCTGAGGTTATAATCCCATTTGGGAATTGGTTCTTTTTGATGTGAATGGGGACTTAACAGTATTCAGTATACTTGAAGTCGATTTAGAAGGAGCAAGATATGCAGAATGGACAGAGCATCAGACGGAAGAGGATGAAGAGAGATGTCCAGACACAGGAAGATCACCCAGCAAAAGAAGTCAAAGCCTTCGCGTAGATCTAGCACCCTGACCTAAGGCTTTTAGCCTCCTGGAGGAGGAAGAAAATAAACTTCCCCTCTTTAAACACTGTAGTATTTGTTAGAGCAGCCCGGGATCACTAAGACAGGCGCTCAGGCATGTAAAGCTCGTGGGAACTGTCACACCTCAATTCACTTCATCAAGCACGAGCGCATTCCCACATCCTTATAGGCCACCAGTTCAGAAAACCGCCAGAACGGGGAAATGTGGATTATCTTTCTCTTCTGCCACTTTCTGAATTTTTTACTTAAATGGTTCAAATCCATGCGCTCTGACTTTTGGGTAGCCTAGATTCCAAGACAGGGGCTGGGCTGCCAACCACAAGGTTGGTGTTTGAAATCCAACCACTGTTCTTCAGGAGAATGACGAGGACGTTTGCTTCGTAAAGATTTATCGTCTAGAAAACCCTGTGGAGTGTTGCTGTGAGTCAGAACTGCCTCGATGGTAGCCGGTGTGGTTTGGGATCTTGCCGCATCTTTCTTCTGTGGAGCAGCTGGTGGGTTTGAATCACTTATCATTTGGTTAGCAGCAGAGTGCTGAACCACCGCACTACCAACAATTCTTAAAGTTAAACCAAATTTTTAAAATTGCATACTAAATCTTAGAAATGTTGTTTTGCAAAACAGACTGCATCCTACTTAGGATGGTGGCTTGATTGCTCACATAATGCAAAGTATATCTAAAACATTTAAAGTCCTTTCTTTGTTTTGTTTTCCATAACTGGTAATCCATGTCTTTCTTGGGAAGGTGTTTTTTTCCAGAGCAATTCATTAAACAGAGTATTAAAGCCCTGCACTTTTCAAATTTTTCAAGCTTTAATTAAGAGGTAGAGAGAAGAAGCATGGGTCTATTACTTTGGAGGGAAATCTACTCATAGCACTTGTACCCTGTATTTGTGAATGTGAACATAATTCCATTGGAATTTCAACAGTTAAATTAAAATATTATGAAGAGCACCCATGGAAGTCAATGAAACAGAAAGGACAGGCTGTGTTATCTTTAAAACCCATCCAATATTTCTATGGATGGAAAAGAATTACATGAAACTTATATTAAATCATAGAAATTGGCTAGACTGCCCCGATTCTTTAATAAACAGCAGAGTGCAGTCGGAGAAAAATACTGTTCTGAAGAACTAGCTTATCAATAAATGAAAGTTTTCTTAAAAAGTTGAAAAACTAGCTGTTTGCCTGAAATATGTTTATTACTCCTTAGGAGAAGCTACTCTCCTTGGGTTCTTAGTAAGATTTCATCAAATGCAAATAAATCCCTTACTGGAAATCCCTTACTCATCATTTCAGATTGTCACAGAAGACGCAGCACAGGAGAACAGTGAACTTACATCTCTTGATGACCGCTCGAATGGACGACAAGGGTCCTTGGCTAGAAAAGGAAAGAAAACACATCGGTCATTCCTTTTGAAGAAGGACGTACACAATGCCAACTCATTTCTGGGACTCACTATGATGACGCCAACCAGCAAATCCGATTCTTTCATCCCTGGTCTGCACTCTTGACAAAACAAACATTTGTAATTCACTTTGATATTTCTGCAGCTTGATGGGAAGAGAGGAGGCCGGTCAAGTATTTTTGCCATGTAAATAAAAACTTGCTTTACAATTGCTTATACAACTGCCTCTATCTTTATCCTCCATGGAAAATCTGATTATGGCTTGAAGTCATATAGCAATTCTGTGGTGCTCAAAAGAACTCTGGCTTTCTCTATACCTCTTGTGAGTTGCACTGCAATCCCAGCTCTCTGATCTGATCAGAATAAATGCAAACTCACTGCCATCGAGCCAATTCTGACTCATGGGGCAGGGTAGAACTGTCCCTGTGGGTTTCAGAGACTATAACTCATTACTGAAGTTGAAAACCTTAGCTCTCTTCTGCCTGGTAGTTTGGGATTGTTGACTTTGCAGTTAGTAGTCCAAGGCATAACCCACTAAGCCACCCCTCTCTGATCAGAATAGATCTAATCAAACCATTCTCTTAAAAATGCATGCTTATTTTTAAGTCTAAGCTCATGTTGAGTTTATCCTGATAGGCACTTATACAGTCAATGTGAACCTACAGTCCTAAGGAAGCATTTATTCCTAAAACGAGAATGAGAACTATCCCCACTTAAAAAATAAAATATTCTGTTTGCTTTGCTCAACAGCTGCTTGGTCCTGGCTCTGCCTTTAACTGTGTGGTCTTGGGTAGAAAAGAAACCCATCTGAAGCCCCATTTACCTACGGATCAAGCCCTCTGCACATAACTATTCGGGCTGTGACTTTGTCCTTATTGAAACAAGCTGCATACAGGTTTTTAAAAAAATCCTTTAAAAATGATTTTTAAAGATACAACATAGAATGCTTCATGATACGATTTGAGGGGAAAAACCTTTTAAATAATATCCTTCACTTCTCACAACAGAACATTCTTTAAAAAAATTTTTTTTAATTGTGGTAACTATATATACAGGAGCCTGGGTGGCACAAGATTGAAGGTTCAAACCCACCAGCTTCTCCAGAGAAGAAAGATCAGACTATCTACTCTGTAAAGATTGATGGCCTTGAAAACTTACATATATGGCAATATATTTCCGATTTTAAAACATGTTTTTGTGTGGACAGTCCAGTGTCCTTAATTACATTCACCATGCTGTGCATCCATCACTATCACTACGGGCTTCCAAAAGTTTGCATCATTTTAAATAGAAATACAGTGCTCCCCAGGCAGTGACTCCCCCTTTCTCCCTCCCCCCACTCACCCCAGTAACCACCTAGACATATTAGTAATTCACACAAGTGAGATCAGACAATATTTCTTCTTTTGTGGTTGATCTATTCTAAATCCGCATGTCTTCAAAATACATGTGGTAACATGTTTCAGCCATTCCTTTTTATGGCTGAATAATATTCCTTTGCATATATGTATATTTTTAAAACCTTCTTTTTTTAAAAATCATTTTATTAGAGGCTCATACAACTCTTATCACAATCCATACACACATCAATTGTGTAAAGCGCATTTGTACATTCATTGCCCTCATCATTCTCAAAACATTTTCTTTTTAAGTGTATACTTATTTAAGCTCTTGTTGAATTTATCTTGTTGGTAATCTGTATAAATCCTCTTGCTATTTCTTAGGTAGCTAAGATAAACCTATAATATGATAGCAATATATCACTTCATCTTCAGAGAGAGACACTTTCAGACCAGACTAAAACAAACAAAATCCGATCTAGGAAGTCTCTAGTACCATAAAGTGAGGAGCATATTAATTATAAAGACAGTAATCATTTGCAACAGCATGGATTAAAAAGCAAACAAACATTTTATTGCTGTTGTTGAAAGTACACACACACAATAAATAAGTAAAAATAACAAGAAAGTGTACACAGCAGAACATTTAGTGGGGCTTCAAACATTGCAGAAAAATGGAATTTAAAGATCACGGAATTTTCACGAACTTTTGAAAGTTTCCTCATATTTCAGCTAAGGGTCCTCAAGCATAAAGCTGACATTTCACACTGGCGTCTCACAGCAGATGCCACAGATAAGGAAAAGGGCAAAATCCCGGCAGTTAGGTGGGACACAAGGCGCCCCAGGGTGCAGTCTCTCAAGCGCTCGGCTGCTCATTCAAGAGTCAGTGTTTCAAACCCAGCATCCCGTCCAGTCGGCTTCCACAACACTCAAAAATCAAACTCCCAGCCGTTGAGCAGATTCTAACTCATAGTGACACTACAGCATAGGGTAGAACTGGCCCTGTGGGGTTCAAAGATCGTAACTCTTTATGGGAGTAGGAAGCCTCATATGTCTCCTGCAGAGCTGCTGGCAAGTTTTGAACTGCTGACCTTGCTGTTAGCAGCCCAACACATAAACCACTATGCCACCAGGGCTCCTGGTAGCACAGGGCAGTTTTAGAATATGGTTACATCCAGTGGAGAAATGTGTCTTTAGAAGTTGTCCTATGAAACATGTAAAGGGCTCCAGTCGGACATTTTAAAAGTTCAGGTGTTAAATACAGGTCTTGCATTTAAATGTGTATGTATGTATTATACAAAATTATGAGGGGGTCTTCAAAAAGTTCACAGAAAATGTGGATTACGAAAATTCAAGATATTATTATTTTGAATTTCAAAATTTTTCCCACCAAAATAAACTCAGACCAACTTGACAGGACATCTTGTCTGAGCAGGATCTAGTTTAAGGTATGAGCAGGATAAGGTACCATTTTGAAAAGAGCCCCTAACAGAGTGACATGAATTCTGCTCAAACTGAGGCAAGAATTCATGGTGAAGCTTGGAAGGAAGGGTAGTGTTAGGAAAAGTTGCTGTCCCAAAGAAGGCAGCAGTTTACAGATGGGTAACTTGTTTTCAAAAGGCACAAGATGATGTTGAAGATGAAGGCCAAGTGGCAGACCGTTCACATCGCGAAGAGACATTAATCTTGCTTGTATCCTAGTTGAAGAGAACCCACGGTTAACAGCAGAAGCAATAGCCAACACCACGGACATCTCAACAGGTTCAGCTCACGTACCGTTGACGGGAAAACCAGAGTTGAGCAAACGGCTTGTGCTCTATGGGTGCTCGGATCAGCTGCAGGCAAAAACAGCTTTCAATAAAAACGTTCAACAAGTGGGATGGAGATCCTAATGCATTTCTTGTAAGAACTGTAACAGGAGATGACACATGCTCCTGAAGACAAAGTATCATCCAAGCATCGGCTACTAAGAGGTGGAAGTGGTCTAGTCAAAGCAAAATCGGCTAAAAGGTCACCGCAGACATTTTTTGGGATGCTAAAGGCATTCCTCTTACTGGCTTTCTGGAGGGGCAAAAAGATAACTGTTCACTGTGAGTGATTTGAGAAAGCTAGCTAAAGCGTTAGCAGAAATCACCCTGGAAAGCTTCCCCAGAGAGTCCTTGTCTACCAGAACAATGTTCCCGTTCATTCCCCTCATCAAACAAGAGCAATTTGCGAGTGTTCTGATGGAAATTATGGAAAATCATTAGGTATCCATCTTACAACCCTGATCGACCCCTTGTGACTTCTTTTTGTTTCTTAATCCTTTTTAAAAAAATCCTTAAATGACACCAATTTTCCCTCAGTTAATAGTGTAAAGAGACTGCTGGCGTGGTGGAGGTCCCTACATGGCTGGTATCATTGTTTACAAAAGTGTCTTGACGCTGATGAGGCTAATATTGATGTCGAGTTTATATATTTTACCCTATAATTCCAGTTTGTCATGCACGTTTTGAACCCCCCTTGTGTATACCCAAAGTCTTAGGCCAACCCTGATTTGCTGCCTGAAACAGAAAGCAACAGTGTGTTACAGAACAACACGGATACCTGTGTTTCCACCTTGGATGTGCATCAGTCATCACTCACACCCCATGGGACCTGCCAGGCCAAGGCAATATATTATGCAATGGAGAGAAGGTCCTATGAATCAGTAAATACAATTTTTGCCACAAGCACAACACTGTACTATCATATTAACAGTGCTCAAGTTAGCATTACCATTATAGTGTGTAGGCCCAGATCTGACACACAGTGGAGAACAAAGAAATAAGAATAAAAGTACAGTCGTTTGAAACTAGTAAAAACCACATACATGGTAGTTGTCACTATGATGTCTGTCCAGAGCTTAAAGTTTGAGGAGGGAAGATTCCTTTTGTGAGAATCAAAGAACCAAGATTAGACGAAAAACAAAAAGGCAAAAGTAATAACTGCTATCCAGCTGGAGTGCCTCTTGTTGAAGTTACACTCCAAAGTCCTATGGAACGTAGGAAAACTTTTTTTTGCATGGGTGGGGGTGGTGGGGGTGGGGGAGGTTACTGAGCTCATTACTATTACTTTTTTTAATCGCCACTGACATCATTAAAACCTATATGATACCAAGTCATTGCAGGTACATTTCCACCTAATCTTTTTTCAAGGAGAAGCAAATCATATTGCGAACACTAATGTATGAATTTAGTTACTGTGCAAGGAAGGCTAGTAATTACTTGTAGCTGAGTTTCATTACCATGTTCTTATTTTTAAAGGTCATGAGTTGCATGTGCAGTCAGATCTGCGGGCAGGAGGAGCAAGGGGGGCAAGGGAAGAAAAGCAAGCGGGATGCTTGAAGCACCTGTGAGGACAGATGACCAGAGTGGAAAGTGGATAGCATCTGAAGCCAGGAAGAGAGATCTATTCTTTGAGTGAGCTTGGCCAATTTATTTACTACTAAAATTGTGGGTCGGGGGTAGGGGAAAGGGGTAAGGGATAGCGTTAGTTGGAATGGACTCTCCAGCAACTGGTTTTATAACATATGAGGCTGGGTAATTGATTTACTTATTGGAATCATTCCCTTACCTATAAAATGAGGGTAAAAATGCCCCCAAATATGTAAA